TTCAGTGCATGCAGGCACTCCACAACGGCACCAACAGGCCCGTCCACAGCAAACACTGCACAGAGGATCGTCCGGAGACCAGGAGAGCCTGTAACCACACCATATGCCCCGCCCAGTGGAGGACAGGGGCGTGGTCTCAGGTGAGTGAGGAGGTTAGCCAGCTGCAGCAGCTGTGTTCAGATTTGAAGGTCACTGTGTTAAACATTAGCTTGCTAATGTATGACTGATTTAGACTGAAGAGTAAAAGAGGTATGGTTGACATATCCAACCTTGATTTAAATTCTGATGTGATGAAAAACTTGACCAAATAACATTATCTTAGCATCAATCTGATGTTGCCATCTCACTCTTAACTACATCAGAAGCTACTAACTTTGAAGCACACAGATTTTTCCATGTATTCATATGTGATCACAGCAAATCAAATCTGTTTACAAAGGATTGGCAGTAAAGTTTAATATGTTTCTGTTCTACATTCCCCTCCAAAACTGTTGTTTTTGCCAGTTATATTACTCATGATGCTGCGGGAACTTCTGATTGGAGATTGCTACAGATATCACCTAGCAACCGATTTACAATTTACACATTACTAAAGCCTATACTAGCTAAGACATTGCTTAAGTTTTAATGGCACAACTAGATTTAGTAAATCAGTTACTAGTTTGAAACTTGCTAATAGCTACTAAGAACTGAGACTTTTATTTTTTTTATTTTGCAACATATCCACTTTGTAGCTCTACAATTTGGCATTTTTAACTCACCTTGAGATTTTTCATTGTTAACATATCTTGTCGCAAACATGTCATGATAGTCTTGCTTAATCTAATCATGCTCAAACACAAATGAACTGTTTGTGACTTGTTTGATGCGGTAGACCCTGACAGTGGTTGTCAAGAGCTACAACTTTTCCTATAGCTTTAACGTGTGTGTTTGTGTATTTGTGTGTGTGTGTGTGTGTGTGTGTGTGTGTGTGTGTGTGTGTGTGTGTGTGTGTGTGTGTGTGTGTGTGTGTGTGGTGGTTTATAGTGTTCGGTGACCTGTGATGAAGGGATTCAGCAAAGGCAGGTGGTTTGCAAAGCCAGCGATAACACCATCGGAGAATGTGAGGGCGAGAAGCCGGAAACTGTCCTCATTTGTAAACTGAGTCCATGTCCAGGTGAGATAACAGTGTATGTTACTAGGGAACAGTATTCACACTATATTTACCAGGTTGCTGCCTGTCTTATATACACTGCTAGAGAAACTGCCTTTTAATTATGGATGCAGAAGGATTTCTATGCATCTTTTGTGGGAACTTGTGGGTGGTTAATGTCAACTGCATTCTGCATATTTAGTCATCTGGCAGTAGCAGGGCCAAATGATACTTCACATAGTAAATGTGTTTTTCTGATTGAGAAGTTGTCTCACAGCCAGATCAAACTGAACACACGGTTTAATCTTCCTACACAATAATAACCTTGTGGAACTGAGCAGAGTTTAGCGAGTACCAACAGTTAGAAGTGAAACAATCAACTTACTAACATCAGGTCTTTATTGTAGACACATTTCATCCTCCCAGGATGAATAACGCCTGCTCGTCTATGTGCACTTGGTCTAAGACAAAGAAGCATCTGAATGACTTAAAGAAACTGTCTAAATATATTTCCTCTGTGTCAAAACATTTCTGCTCTGATGTCCACCTTCAGCGCTTCTCATGTTTCTTCCTCTTTAAAGGTTTGGGAGCCACCAATTCTTTCTGTTTCCCTTTACAGGCAGTGTTTTTTGTCAGAAACAAGAAGAAGTCCAGGTTGTGCCCTGCTTTCTGTAAATAGCACCACGCTTTATTATAGGTTTCTAACAACACAGCTTCTGTTTTCTTACAGTAGCAAGAGGTGGCCAGAGCTTTTCTTGGATCTTGTGGCTGCTGTTCAACGTCTTATTTAGAAATATTTTTAGCCTAATTTTGTCCTCGCTTGCAGGACAGCCAGTGTCTTCTCACACCGTTGAAACAATGGAAAACTCCACAATAAAAGATGAAGCTGTACACCAACGGGCTCCTGAAAACACTGTCCACAAAATCTCTTCAAGTAAGTCAATATATAATTTGTAACATCAATCAACTGCGTACACATCTAAAAAAAAATCGTACTCTTACTGTAATGATGTCCTCTGTGTTATTACTAGATGAGCCATGTCTGGGAGATAAATCGATTTTCTGTCAAATGGAGGTTCTTGCCCGTTATTGTTCCATCCCTGGATATAATAAGCTTTGTTGTGAGTCTTGCAACAAGAAAGAAAGCCTCGCCACATATTCTCCTGACCTCCAAAACACCCCAGTGGCCTCCGTTGAACTTGAGACCTCTGCTCCTTCTCACCCTGCGTCGCCCAAGGCTCCTCTACCCGCTACGACCCAGAGCCCGCCGCAAACCACTAAAGCCATCGGCAGACGGTTTCGCTCCACTGCTCCGGTTCCAACCACCGCTGCCGCTGCTGAAGCCTCGCCATCCACGGGTGCTGCTCTGCCCCAGGGTCCCACCAGTGACTCCTTCCTCACAGCTGAGAAGGGAGACTCAGACCCGGGGCCTCTTCTACCTCCAGGGTCACAACGGCCCACTGCAGACTCCAGTGGAGGTGCCTCTAAAGAGCACAGTCCAAACAGCACTTTAGGCCCAGTCGCTGCCAGGTCAAGAAGGGACGATTTAGGATCCGAGAGGGACTCGAGTCACAGAACCCTGTCAGCTCAGAAATGAACAGTGAGCGTGATGTTGAGAACGTGCTGCTCAGTGAGACGGTCTCAAACATCAGTTCACCCGTTGCAGCATCTGATAGACTCGCAGTCTTGCTGCAGATATTTTCTTTCTTTTTTTTTACAAGGATTTTTTATGTTCCAATGCCAGTGAACTTAGACCAGACCAGAGATGGTTACCTCATCAAAACTCCAGAGTGATCTGTGTGCAGCGTCGCTCTGCCCTCTGTGCTTCAAATATGAAATGGAAGAAAAAAAGTTGTCAGGTGCTGTAAACTAAAACGACTACAAGACGTGTTCAAAATGTGATGACTGCATTGCTACATTCATGTTTTTATCTGTGTACAGTTGTGTAAGCCTGTTTTTTCAAGTGCATTAGAACTACTATTGAACTTGTATTGTGAACATGTGAGGAGAGGTCAAAGGCCATAGTTGTGGAGGTGCATGTGTCAGCTGTGGAGACTAGAGTGTGCCACTAGAATGATTATAGACCCTGCCAGTGCTCACTTACAATCAAAAAATTTTTTTTTAATAATGCATTGAGTAACAAAGTAAATTGCAGATTAGTACATTTTAATTATTATTCTGTTTTAAGAATTAATAAAATTTTTGAAATAGAACTGCTAAAATATATTTTTTAAAGCTTTTAAATGGTATTTTCTTTCTATTTTGTCCTACAATCGTCTGCTACACTTTCCATTTCCTGAACTGAACTTTCCTGAGCCAAGAGGCTGTTAGCTTAGCATAAAGACTGGTAACAGGTAGAAACAGTTAGCCTGGCTCTGTTCAAAGTTCAGAAAGTTAATAATACAAAACATTTGTAGTCAATCACTACTGACTGTATTTCCCATTTTTAACCTGGGGATATAATCAGCAGCTCATTGCACTTCTATAAATTTCCTGAGTTGTGCTCATAACAGAGGACTTTATTTACTGTGGCAGAGGAAACATAAAGTCGGATCAAAATCAATTTAAACTGATCTGTTTCTTATTAAAACAAACAGGTTGTCCTAAAAATAAAAAGCTTATGCTGAGTATATATATAGTAAAGTAAAATATATGGAAGGATAGTAACACTTAATTTTAATGGGTGTGCATATTCTGGCATAACGAGAGAAACTGTTCATGAAGAAATAGTTACTGCCCCTAAAACCAAAACAATTTGTTTTTACAAGTTTTAGTTCACTTTGTTCAGAGCCTGCATCCTGTATTTACACTAAACTAATCCTAACTCTAGCTAATCCTTTCTTATATGTTTTATTCATCATTTAAATGTAATTAATCACTTTATAATGGCATTTAAAATGTACCTAACTGATTATGATAAAACACCTGTTAAGTCTATAGTCATTCCAGTGGCACACTCCAGACTCCATAGTCACAACTCCTGGCAGGGAGCTTAATGGCTTCTCTGTCCCCGGTGCTCTTTTTTCGTTGTTTGTTCCCAAATTCAACGTACTGGTGATTATCCTCACTGGTAAAAACTCATGACTGTTTGTAAGCCAACCCCACTGTAGCATGCCCTCTGCCTGCCTTTGTGGAAGTCAGTCACTTACGCTTTAAAAACAAAAAGATTTAAGAAAAAACTCATTATGTTATTTTGATATATTTTTCAGACAATAATGTATATAGTGTAAATTTCACGTTATGAAAAGAAATGAACAACCAGGAATAGAACGGAAAGTATGTTGCAATTGGAAAATACAGGCGATGCTGTAAGTCTACAGACTGTGGTTGGTCATACTGTTACACCATTCCTGCATTGCAGTTCATAACATTATGTTTATTGTATAGTTCTTGTATATACGTACGTGAATGAAAGCTTTAAGTGTTAATATTTATTGAATTTTTAAGTGGTATGGAGAACAAAGTAAAACACATTTGAAAGAACTGAGATTCTTGTTATTTCACTTTCCTCTAGTTGGCCTTCATTTACTGTTATATTTAGACTTGAGCTTTTTCATAGATTCCATTGACAGGCAGACATGTACGACTACACAAGTTGTCCTTGAATTCTTGTTTTTTGTTTTGTTACAAAAAAGTCACAGATTGATTCGGTCTGAACTGAGTCATAGTTGAAAATAGGCACGTGTTATGCAGTGTTGCTGTTAATGTGGTATTCAAAATGTTTTTACAATGTTGATGGTAGAAAATGAATCAGGCAAAATAGGCACATTCAAGCTCTTTATTAATTTTGTCCAGTCATATGCAATGTTATGTCAACAGACAAGTGATGACTCCTAATCAGGAAATCTTAATGAGGTTTGATTGGCACACCGTGATATTTATTCCTATTATATGCCAGCTTCCTTCTGCCAGCCTGGCTCTGGGCTGCTGACACTGGTATCTGCCAGCATTCGGGCTGAGTGTCTCCTGCAGGCAGCGTTTCTGCTCTTGCTGAAAGGGCAGCGTTCAGTCGAGCAGCCAGGCTGTCACCGTGCCTCCATCTCCCAAGTCTTCCCCAGTGAGTGATGCTGCTGGTTGCTGCTGCGATGTGGGTGTCACACAGACTCAGTCAGCCCAGGGTGGCTCCCGCTGTGAGACGTCTGCGGAGGTGTCTGGTGAAATCCAGCTGTGCTCTGGGCAAAGCCTGATTGACAATGGACTTTGGCAGCCAGCCCTGAGAACAACATTATTTTTGTTAGACACCTGAATGATATTTGGGTGACTGTCTAGGTAAACAAAAGGGAGTATCAGCTAGCTAGTTTGCTGCTGCACAATTAGTATGTGCTGTTCATGTATGTGTATTTGTTTATGTGTAGTAGTTTTATTTCCATCAATTATACAATTTCTGGTTTTATATTCCACATTTTTAAAAGTACTACAATTAAAACAATTATAACTTAAATAAAACTGAATCATTATCACTGAAATCCACTAAACAGCAGCTACATCTGGCTCCTCAAACCATCCTCACTTGCCCTGCTGCTGTTGATTGATTGTGCTGTTACTCCCTCTGCCACCTTCAGCCTCTCCAGGTCTGGTTCCTTATCTTTCTGTAGCTATTCCTTATCTTAAAATTGTGTGTTTTGTATCACAGTGATTTATGTCTGCTGGGTTCTGCTGTTAATCCTGGGAGAATAAGAACAATGTGTTCTTTTTTTATCGAGAGCATCTTAAAGAGCAGATTCAGACATTTCTACAGTGATAATTCCACCAAGTGTGCCCTGGACTGAAACCTGCACATCATTTTAGCACATTGTTTTTCTGAAATAGATTGGTTGTGTGTGGTACTGTTTTGTTTTTGAATTGTTTGTCTGTTGCATAAAGCGGAAAATGGCCAACCTAGGTAGCACACTGCTCATCTGATGAAACCCTGGCAGAAGTCCTGGAGCTTAGAATCAATTTGCAGTAATAGGAAAAGTACCTGCACACTCCCATCTGTGCAATATTCATACACATATTTATTGCTATAAATGAATATCCCACACATTTGGGTCTGCAGATGCTTTTTCCTATTATCGTTCACAAAATGGAAAATACATTACATATGAATTTACCTTTACATCCATATTAAGCAGCCATGTGAAGCGGCTTTTTCTTGTGTCCTCGTCCAGAGACTGAATGACGATGCAGGTTGGTCCATCCTCGGCTCTGTAAACATGCAAATGCTCATTAACTTACTAGTACTCAACCAAGTTTTAGTGTGGATTATGTGTTTGTTAATTTTGTATATTTTTATTTTCAAACTGTCACATAAACATATTGTGTACATGGTGATGTCACATTGCAGACTCCGTGGAAGGTGACCCACGGCGTCTGTAGATCATTCTAAGGTAATAATACACTAATGAAAACATACATATGCATATTAAATGCGATTTCTGACATATCTTGTCAATAGAGTTTCCTAAATCTTACACACTGGACCTTTAAAATAATAATAATAACTTTATTTATACAGTATCTTTAAAACATGCTTTAAAAGACAGAGCAAAGATATACAACATAAAATACAATGGCTATTCCTCTTTCCTCATACTCTTCAAGTTCATCTGACATCAGTCTGATAAACCATTTTATCTCTCACACATGAGATATGACTCCAGAAGGCCACTGATATCACCTGGTGCTGAGCATGTTTCCACAGATTGTCAGAACAAATTAATATGTCAAATCAAAACACTCCACTGGATTTATTATTGTAGAGTCAAATATGTTTTTCCATTTTGTTCTGACATCTCAATACCTGGACAAATGAGATTAGAGGCGCTGTATATTATAAGAGAACCTTTAATGAAGCTTTTGACTATATTTTAACACACGATGATTAATGCCTAGCTGCGTTATGATCCTACCTCACAAAGCCTGCCTGAGGTGGAAAGGACTCCAGCTGAATTGCTGCTCCTCCAAGATAAACAGCTGACTTTTGTTTGCAACTGTGTCTGACACTCAGGAAATCCCTTTGGCCTATCAGATTTCCTGCGGTCTCGGCTGAAACCTCATGAGTGACAATTGTTTCAGGTCCAACATGCTTCAGAACCTGCAACACAGGACACAAATTTAGCTTGCATGTGGACTGCAGAGCTGAATTGCAATTGAATGTATTTATGTATAAAAAGTAAAGTATAAAGTATAGCAATGCAACAATACATTTCCTGTCGTTAAGAAATGGCATGAATTCAATTAATTATGGCTATAATGTGCACAAAGCAGACCTTCACATTTCAAGTGAAGAAGAAGTTAACTGAAATATAGTTCTGAAAATCTCTTCTAAACTCAGGTTGCTTACAGTAAAAAGTATTTACGTCTACGGTATTTTTAGGTTACAGTTTAACAGTTGCTGAAATATATAATTATCAGCAGCTTTACTTTGATATGCTGTATGCTCGGGTTCCACTGGTGCATGTCCTCCACCCTGACAAACAAGAGTTCGTAGAGCTCATCCATGCTGGCCTCCAGGACCGCCTCCAGCCTGAAGACCTTCCTGGCCCCCGGCATCACTTTGCTACAGATCACATCCCCGTCGCCCTGAGAAGAGACCAACAAAAAAGCAGGTAAACACAACACAACGGTCACTTAGATTCAACAGAGCATGAAGCAAATCACTTTGGAAATGATACAAGACAGGATGGCATTTAAATCAATGAGACTTTACCTCTGCAATCTCAACCTTCCATCCTTCTTTGTCCTCCAACATATTGAGAGCATTCGTCATTGCTTCCTGGCCTTGTTGTACATAGAATAGCTGATCTTCTGTTGATGGCACAGGCTTTATATCTTCAAGTTTGGGCTCTGCAAAAGATTCTTCCATGTAATCTTTCAACAACTACACAACTACAAATACAGAATTACATGTATATATTTTTACCATTATACTTGAATCCAACATGTGTTCTTATAGGATGTTGGATCTGCCCCCATGTCTGCCGGTGTGCAAGCTCCTGGCCTATCACTGCCACAGCTGTGCGTTGAAGTCCTGCATGATTGAACAGGGAAAAAAAATCATTAGTCTTACCCAGAATGCAGCATTTGCAAGAAAATGAATGAAGAGAAAAGTCCTCCCTCAGATTACTGAGAGTGTTTACCTGCCATACTCCTCAGATGTGGGTAGGAGATTCCACAGCAGAGCTTTACAACAGCAGGCAGCATATTGTCTGTCTTCGGCAGTGACAGCAAAGCAACAGAGCATGTCTCTGGTCTTTATATGGCCTCTGAAGGACGTTCTGCTTAGATAAGCGCCAGGGGGGAAGATAGGACCTGTTCTGAATTCTGCCCTGAAGGCCACACTTGACAAGAGCTTTATTAACTAGACAAAGAGAGAAATCTAACAGTAAGAGCTATGGTTATTTTTTGCATTTGTGTGAATTTGAATCTCCAACTTTAAGAGACTCTCACATGCTGTATAATGACTTGACTGAAACAGTTAAATGTGTATTTTTCTTTCTAATGAGTAACAATTATCTAGTTTCTAAAATAGCTTTAAATAAAAGACTACATGAAATACATAATAATTACCCCCTTGAGAACAGACAGCTATCTTTATTAATATAATATGTAATAATTAGTCCTTTTAAATGTGCAATATTGTAGCTTTTTAGAATATATCAAGTGCAAAATTACACAAAACCCAATCAATTACCTCTTTATTACATACAAAAAAGTGATGCATGATACTTTGTATCTGTGCATCATCACATAATTACTTTAATTACAAATTTGCCTTTGTCTTTCATCTCAATATGTGTATTATCAAATATTATAAAAATATTATATAATAATACTATCACAAATTGGGTAATGAATCATTAAAAACAGTTTTTGCAACAAACAACTCTCTCAACCTTTGTGTTGGTATAATCACGTATTATATAGATGAATCTGGCACACCTCATTTTTGAACCCGCACAACAAAACAGTGATGTTTGAAGGTATATTACTTTTTGACCAAGAAATATGACTGGGTGATCCTGTAGAACCTGTTATATAGTCATTAAAATTTAACTGAAAGATTTACTTTTCAGTAAATTTAGTCCGTAGAGAGAAATATTTTCACTTGTAAATATGGAAATTGACATTTACTGAGCTGTTGTCACCTTAGGCAAAATCCACAAGCTTCTGCAACATACAATTAATTCAACTTTAATAATTTTCATTAAACCCTCAAATTTTTATTCTGAGTGGTGGACTGATAAAGAGTTGTGTCTGCCTGCGGCGTGCCATTGCTTTTTCCTGTCAGCCTGGAGGTCTGACAGAATTTTTATTTATTTTTCATCCAAAGCTGTTGTAACTCAAACTTTTTTTTAAAATTTATCTCTGGTGAGAGCACAAGGCATCCATCAGCCAGCAGGTTCACCTACAGTTTAATGGTTTCTCTCAAAGGACCCAAAACACTGTTTTTTGCTCCCTAAATGTTTTTTTTATTATATTAGGAAAAATGCTTTTTTTTAGCTGGCTCTTACGTACATAGGATCTGCAGTATCATCAAAGTTTTCATAGCGAATCAGTGTGCAATGATAATAAAGATAAATAAGTTATCTATCTATCTAAAGGCATTGTTTGGTTTGTCCCTTCTGGGCTGCAGTAGAAACATGGTGGTTTAACATAGCGGACTCCATGAAAGGCGACCCATGGTGTCTGTAGATAAAAACAGCTCATTCTGAGGTAACAAAAACATATTAATTCCTGTATTCCGGTGATTATACACTAATGAAAACATATCTATGAATATTATTTTTCATTTCTGCTAATAGATCCTCCTAAAAGTTACTCACTGGACTTTTAACTAAATAAAACCATATTAAAACAGAGTGAGCCATGGTGAGAATCTGAAAGGCAAGACTAATTGCAAATAGGGTGATACATTATGCAAAATTAATTAACTTAATGAACTAATTATCAATAACAGAGTGTGAATTACTGAATCATGTGTACGGATGAGTTCTCCATGACACTTCCTGGGCTACATAAAAAAAGCACACATTCAGGCAAAAACAATCTCCCTAGCAGAGGATGATGGTCAAACACATGAAATGCCAAAAATATACAGGCTATATTCAATTTGCTGATGCAATCTGAGTAGACACTTTTTTTGCTACAAGTGAAGTGTTACCTTTGCACTAATTGGCAGGAACCACTACTACAGGATGCTTGAAGGAACCAGAGAAAATCTGACGAAATTTCAGTTAATTTTGGCCAGAGCCATGAAATGTGACCCTGACAGACAGCAAAGATTAGTCTTGTAAGGACGACTGTCACACTGATAAACCGGCTGGGGGTAATGTGAAAAGATGCAAATGCAATAATGTTTGCACTGCTTTACAAGTGTTTCATCAAACACTGGGGTCCTATATTGTGGGGTAGAAATTAACAGATTGCATTAACATGTCTATATATACACATGTATATATATGTATATATCATACATCTATACAATGAAGAAAAAAAAAGAATAATTTCCATTCTGGGTTTATATTACCAAGAAAACATACTGTAGCTGATGGGCTCTTCTCACCCCATGAGCAAAGGAAATCTACTACACACCAAATAGGCCAAATGGTTATCAGCTCCCAGAAGCTGAAAGATCATACATGTCATGCAGGCTGCACCACTTGTACACTTGTGCCTGCATATGTTTGACACAGAGGAGCAAGAAGGTGGTCAGGGGAGATGGTGGGTGTGGGGTGGGGGTGGTTAATCATCTTCACTTCTGTGGAGTGAATTCTCAGGATTCAATATCCTTATCATTTCTCTCGTGGGGCCAAACATTAGAAACACTGTGTGTGTGTGTGTGTGTGTGTGTGTGTGTGTGTGTGTGTGTGTGTGTGTGTGTGCGTGTGCGTGCGTGCGTGTTGTGTGTGTGTGTGTGTGTGTGTGTGAGTGAAGGGGAGTTACTATCATATCTGAAAAATATTTGGTAGAGGGCCCAGTGTCGCCCCCTCTCTTTCAATGCTGCCTTGCTGAAGCGTATCGGATAGGACACCAGGAAACAGCTGCGTCTTATCGCCCAGAGCCAACAGGTGTCCTTGTGAGAAGGATTTGTGACGTGAATGCTGAACTTCACCTGCTGACCAGGCCAGCTGAACTCAAACTGTGGTCACGCCACCAGAGAAGAAGCATAGCAAGGACTTTTTTTGTGAATAGTAATATCTATGGAACAGGAACGTGTTAATGATTCCCAAAACAAGTTTGATGAAGTTCATTTTGAGTCAAGACATCAAGTGGCACCAAAGGTTGATTCATCCTCGATATACATGTGTTTTGTCCATAAAGTGCTGGTTAAATAATTCAGTGTGTCAAATTGTCAAAATTCTGGAAATATGGCTTTATTCATTGTATAAAACAAAATGCATTATGTGGCTTAAAAGGCAGCAATGTGACATAACTGCACATTTCCCATCTGACAAATCCTTTTTCCTGCTCAAAGCAAGGCAACCTTTTTGAATTGTACTTGTCAAAATGTGGTAGTTTAAAGTGGTTTACATAATACATTAAGAATAAAAGAACAAAATAAATTACAGTAAAAGGAATAAAGTGTCAGCCTAAAAAAAAACAACTGAAAAGTGAAGAAAATAAAAACTGTGAAAGAATTAAATAATCGCAGGTACTGATTTAAAAGTAACAAGAGCAAAGACATGTCTTTAATTACCTGGAATTTTGTTGCAGACCTTTGCAGCTTAGTAACTCAACTCATCTTCTCCATGTTTGGAATTCATTCTGGGCACAATCAACGGACCAATGATGACCTGAGAGGTCAAGAGGGCTCATACAGCAGCGGACAATCAGGGATGTACTTTGGCTCCAAATCATTATGTGAGTCATGATCAACCTTTACTCTAAAGATCATTGAGGAGGCATCCTTACTTTGAGTTAAACACAGTGTTGAATAACTGCAGATAAAGCAAGCTTGAAAAAATTGATGAATTTGGCAGTTTAACTTATACACAAACAGGAGATTGTATTCTGCTCACTTAAACTACACAGGTACATTTTAGCAGTATTTAGCAGCAGAAGAGCAGAAATGCTGTATAATTTGTTGCACATAATTCAACATGTGATAAAGCATTTAATGACCCTGTGATGACTCAGAATGAAGAGTGAATATTCATGGTAGGATTATGAAACAATGGGCCCCTGGGCACAGACATGTAAAAGACTGAAAGAGACACAAAGGAACTATTACTAAAACATTGCCACATTGTTTATAGTCTTGTCTTTTGTAGTCGTTTTATATCTCTTAGTGGTACATTTTTTTCAGTTTGTAGTCATTTAATGCCTCTTTGTGGTAATTTTTTCTTACATTGTGGTAGTTTTCTCTTTTCTCTGTTGTTGTCTGTTTGCATCTTTTTTTGGTCAATTTGCACCTCTTTGTGGTTTTGCATCTATCTGTGGTTGCTTTGTTGTCAATTTTTGTCTCAATTTGTGTCTCTCTGTGGTTGTTTTGTGTATCTTGGCAGTTGTTTTACATCTCTTTATGGTATAAAATCCATCATGTGTATTATAGTTGATATATAAGAAATAAGAATTAATGATGAAGCCAGACTGCAGTTTGCATTCAGTTTTTTGAGAGCTTGGAACCGGACACTTTTTTAATGTGTTCCTCTAGTTTTGAGTTGTTTTTATATGCGCATGTCATTAGCAACTAAGTCAATGCATAAATCCTTCTTTTCCTCTGTGTTTCTGTTATATTGATGAAGTTAGACACACCCACACCCGTATTATGGGAAATCCACATTATTAAAGCAGTGGAAAGCCACAAAGGAACTCAGCCAATAATGACAACACAACAATAATGGAAAGGTTTAAAGGTTACAGTTGATGCTGTAGTATGTTGTGCTCAAGGGCAAAGCAAATCCATGTGAGTGAAAACAGGCACGTTCTTCAGAGGTGAACACGGTTTGTTAATTCGATTTCCATTTCATATCAAAGATCATTAATTCTTTACAGGACAGTCTCCGTCTAATGCATTTTTCTCTACTATTCATTGTTGTTTTTTACGTCGGTGACAATATGTTTTGCTTAAGAATAGCACAAGAATGAAGAGTACTAAAGATACATACGATGCATTTGGTAAATAATGAAAATGGCTGATTATAAGTGATGAAGACATATTTGATGGCATCAGTAGTGTAATAAAATTATTGAACACAAGTTGCAGCAGTTACAGCAGTAAAAAAGAAGCACAATAATAATAATTAATAACATAAATAACAACAATTAATAGGAATAGAAATAAATACCAAAGGTACAGAGAAGTTTTGAGCAGCTGTAGCTGGGAGAGAAATGCACACGTTTCTCCATAGTGTGTGTGTTCACTTAGTCTTAGTCAAGGTTTTTCTCAGTCCAGACTCTGTCACAATGGACAGCTAACAATCGTGTACGGGTAGACACAGTAGAGTTCACAATATTTCACAGTGAAAACTAGGC